TCTTAAAAGAAAAAAAAAAAACTTAAAAGAAAAAAGAAGATGGGGCTGTCCAGTTAGTTCAGTTAGAGGTGCTCACTGCCCAAGTCTTGACAGCCTAGGATGCACCCTCAGCATGCATATAGTGGGAAGAGGAGACGCCCACCAGTGGTCCTCTAACCTGCACACACCATCAAACGCGCACTAAAATTAAAAAAAAAAAAAAAAAGAAGAAGAAGAAGATGGGAGCTGTCAAGATAAGGTAAATGTGTTTGCCACTCAAATCTGGCAGCCTGAGTTTGGTGCCCAGAATACTCACATAAAGGTAGAAGGAAAGAATGGACTCTGATCTCTACACAGGTGCCAGCACACACCACACACACACACACACACACACACACACACACACACAATTTTTAAAATAAAATGATGCATGGTTACATATATTCAACAGTGTAGAGGAATCATTTTGAATGCCAACTCAGCAAGTTCTTTGTGGAACCCCGTGGCACTACCTCCCTTTTGTGATGGACAGGCTATCAGAAAGGCAGGCTCATTTGGTTCCTAACAGCTTCTCCCTGCTTCAGGCAGAGATTAAGTGCTAGTGAGGGTTACAGTTGCATTTGAGACTGGAACTATGTTGGAAAACCACATTCTCCCTCTCCCACCCCCATGCATCAAGTTCTCACTGGGGTATGAATGACACAACTGTGTGCCTGGTGATTTCAAGCGCGTAAGAAACGCTATAGAGCCAGAGCTTTATAGTGCCCAGCAGGGCCAGGACACCAGCCACTACCAACCGCTTGCTCCAGTTTGCAGTGGGCCAAGATGTCAAAGGCCTTGTGCCTGACCAGAGCCCTTCCCTAGGGTGGAGAGGACAGCACGCACAGTGGCAACCTCAGGTTTCCTCACCTTAAGTCAAGTCCACGGGAACATGAACAAATACGGGCGCATATGGGTGCTCTGCTACCTAAGAGGGAAGGAGATGGGGACTCTGTTGAGAGCATCGTGGCTCCCCCTGATGGCCCTCACATAGCCATTGAACCAGGAACACAAAGTCATCTTTGACCATGGTATTGGGCAACCCTTGGGCCTCTTCCAAAAATTGCTTCATCCTTCGAATCTGGCAGACTTGCCTTCTGAGGGTAACCACCAGGCTCTCATGACAGCCTCTCAAAAGCTTGTTCTGACAGGTCTGTGTCTTTATAACCTGTCTACCCTTGAAGACGAGTCACATGGTCTGTGTACCCAATAGGAAGTGCACAGAGGAGAAAGAAGCCAACGATTTTTGTTCTAATAATGACTGAAAGCTCCAGGTCTTATGCCTGCCCGCTTAGGAGGTTAAAGTAGTTACAAGTAAAGATAAATTCACAGCCATCCACAAACAGACATACTGTAGTAAAAATGTTGAAACTCAAAGCATGAGAAAATCTTTAGTGTAGCAAGACGGGAACCATCCAGCCCCTCAAATAGAATGTTTGACCATGAGCATGTTGCAGCCACACGGCAGTCTAAAGGGGTCGGTGGTATACTCAAAGGCTACATTTGGCTTAGGTGATGATAGCTTTCAACGCTCAGTGCAAATGCAAGACTTTTCCATGTATGTGTTTGTTTTCTGTGGCTAAAACCAAATGGCCATGGATCAGGTAAATTCAAAAATAAATAAATAAAAGAACAGTGCCATTGCATTTAACGGTTCTGGCACAAGTTTGAGAGGGGCTCTTGGAATGGCTTTCATGCTGGCAGAGTCCTGAGACAGCACAGACATCACATGATGATATACCCGGAATAAGTATGTGTGTGTTCCTTACATTCTTTTCTCCGTGCTTTCAAGCAACAATATATAGCTCTGGGATCTCCATATTGATAACATTTTCTAACTCTAATCACAACCCCATCTCTAAGTAACATACTCAGACCAAGTTTTTATGCTTTAAATAACCCTAGGGACAGTACATCCCTGCCAGAGTTTCAGAGTGCACAAGCTAAATGCAAACCATAGCACCAGCTAAACAGAAAAAGAGCATTTGCTTCTAGTAGCCTGATTCTATAATAATGATCGAAAGAAGGGGCTACTAATAGTAATTCATATCCAAGAAATAAAACCAAAACATCTGAAAAAGAAATAGTACCAGGCACAGAAAAGCAAGGGTAAGGACCTATGTGTACTTTATAGATGTTCAGATTGGGGTTTCCTCTTGGGGATCTAAAATGAAGCTTCCACAGACATCTGGAGTTCCTTGTCTGCAGCCAGAGTTCCTTGTCTGTGTCAGGCAGGAAATCCCAGAGGCGTGTATGAACCAGGAAAGAGGTAACTAGAAGTGAGGATCATGGGAGGGGTAAGGAATAGAGGAAGTAAGGAAGGAAGCAGGAGAGTCCCTTCTCCTCTTACTAGCTCCTCGTCATGTTCAGGGACTCAACCAGACCTGGTGTCAGAGCCTGACCACTACCAAATGGCTACATTCCACCTCTTGACCCCTGACCTCTAGTTGTGGGCTCCTAGTGAGAGGCAAGGACTTTGGTAAAAACACTGGCTAGTATCCTGATTCAAAATGCTAGTCAGATGTGGTATTGTACACCTTTAGTCCCAGCACTTAGAGGCAGAGGCTGGTGGATCTCTCTTAGTTCAAGATCAGCCTGGTCTATGTAGTAAGTTCCAGGATATCAAGAGCTACATAGTAATATCCTATCTCAAAAAATAAGCTGACATATTTTATATTTGAGAATATTTGTACATGCAGAGTGAGATAGCTTGGTAATGAGACCTAAATACAAATATGAACTAAGTCAAAACATAAAATTCATTTATGTTTTCTACACATTTGTATTCACCATAGCTTGGAAATAACTAAGAGAATATTTTTTAAAAATTATGTTAATTTATTGTTATATGTAAGTTCAAATGCGTGGACATCCAGATAAGTGGGGGTCAGAGGACAGCTCTCATGAGCAGGCTCTCTCCTTCTGGCCTGTGGCACATCAGACTTGGCACCTTTCCCATGGAGCACCTCACCAGCCCTGTACAATGTTCTAATGCACCCATGTTTTGACTGTGACCTCCAGAGATGAACAGGAAGTCGACAGTGGGATTTCCTATGTATGGTGTCATGCCAGCACTCAAAAGCTTTCTGATTTGGGAGCATCAAGAACTAGGGTATTCAACCTGCAGTTCTCCAAGGCAATCATAGCTACTCAGATTACGTTGTGAGGCAGTTCCTATCTGCCTGACTGTCCTTAGTGCTTTGGGAAGAAAACAAATCAAAAGACAGAGACAGGACCCGCTGCCACCGGCTGCTTAGACTAAACAGCTGCACTTGAACAGAATCCCCTCAGATACTGTAGGCTGCTCGGGGCCACCATCAGGGTCTGACTGATACCCAGTACCCAGGAAAGACGACCTGGGTGACAGCAGGGCAGGGGCTAACTGTGGCATGGATGCTGCACTGTGGAGAGAGCCTCCAGGATCAGGTTCCTTGACGAGAAGAAACATAAGATCGGGGTGCTTTCTCGGTCAGATGAGTTAGAGGCTCCCGGGGCAGAGGTAAGGGGACATTGTGCTGCCCGTGAGAGGTGTTCCTCGGGGTGTGGGACATCCTTCTTCCTCCTCTTTTCTTCCTCTGACTTAGTAACATTTTCCTGGACTATTTGCAAGCAGCACAACGTCGTGAGACCTTGAAGAAGCTACTGCACACTGGAAGTCTAAAACAAAAGAAAGTAAACCAAAACACAATCCCTTCCACCGTTCTCCCCTTCAACATCCCGTGGCCGTCACACAGGTCACCATGTGCTTGTCACACGTGGGTTTCTCCTGATGGGCCAGAGCAGGTGCGCACTCCTGTCTGAGGCTGACCTTTGGCTTAGCTAAGTTCTCTTTAGCATGCTGGGAAAGGGTGCTAGTCTCTTGCTCTCCCTGCTGCAGTGGGACTCTGGATCTTTCCTTAGCACAGGTGCTGCCTCCTGGCAAGGCTGTTTCCTCAGAAGAGGTACATAGGCCAGAAGATGACTCATTCAACTCTCCTGCGGTTTTCTAGCCAAGTTCAGCATCACATGACATGCTCATTTCCCATACGGGACAGTAGGGTCTCTCTTGATCATTGAGGGTTCACAGACAGGGTCAGCTGCAGCAGGGAGAGACTGAGTGGTCCAGGCGCCTTCCTGTATGTACCTCAGCACATCTGAGCTCGTGTGGATCCAGGAACAATGAGATCTGAGTGGGATCTTCCTAGACAACAAGCACTTTGCCCATCCTCCTAACTCTGCCATCATCCCCCCCCACACACACCAAGTTGGCCAGAATTGTTTAAAACACAGATTTAATTCCAGCACTTGGGAAGAAAGTGGAGGCAAAAGGACCTCAAATTTTGGACCAGCCTGCGCTGCTTAGGAAGAGTGTCTAAAAAACTAAAAACAGACAAAAACTCTCACTTCTCAGAGCTCTCCCTATGTCTGGTCTTACTGTTATCTTCTGAACCCTGAACACCCTTTGTTCTGCTCTGACAAACTTCTCAGAGGCCTCCATTGCTCCTTCAATCCATCTCCTGGCCACACCCCACTGCCAGTTTCTGATAACGCCATGTTTGCAAATACCAAGGCTCTACTAGAAATAAAGCATTATTCATTCTCTCAGATCTGGCACAAATGCCATTGCCTGTGCGCCTCTGCCTCCCTCAGGCAGCGCCCCGTGCAGTCCTTGCTCCAGTCTGGTGACAACTCTCAACACCCACACCCTGGGTTGCAGGACCCTCAGCACGTGCATGGGTGTGCCAGCCAGATGGAGGGACCCCATCTTCCCTGTCTGCCTTTTCAAACCCAAGGAAGTGCTCCAGGGAAGCAGAAAGCTGATGCAAAGATTAGAGTCCAGCACCCCAAAGGCAAGTACAGTTCAAGGTCTTTGAGCAGATATTGATGTCAGGACTTAGTTACTAGTTAACAGCTCTGTAAAGATCAAACAGAGCAGGGCACCCTGCTCTGGGTTCACTGGGATATAAGGAAGCTATTGCCAGCGAATGGTAAGAGACACCATTGGGCTGTTATTGTTAAAGTACTCAGTCCTTCAGTTATGGCGGAAGCGGAGGCCCCTTTTTCACAAGCAGTCATGGTAAGCCTTGGACCGTGGCATTCCTGCAGTTAGTAAGAAGGGGTGAGGACCTTCAGGTGCTGACCGAGACCTCAGCCTACTCAGGGCTGTCCCACCTCCTGCCCTGTGGAGATGGAGCATCCTGAGGCCTTGTTCATCCTTTTCCTTTCTTCTCATTGCACAAAGCCAGGGCTTCCATCCCCAGCACCAAATATATGAACAGGAGTGGTGGCACACACTTGTAATCCTAGCACCCATGGAGTGAAAGCAGGAGAATTGGAAGTTCAAGGTCATCCTCAGCCATGTAAGGAGTTGGAGGCCAGCCTGAGCTACGTGTCAAAAAAAATAAATAAATATAAGTAAAAAGACTTTAAGCTTCTGGATTCCTTGGGACAAAGATTGCTCAGAGGTCATTATCTGCTCTGGCCATTGGCACACTCTGACTGATACTTCCAAGCCATGCCTTTTTGCGGTGTTTAATCGAAGTATAACTATAGGATATTCAGGTAAAAGTGAACAAATGATAGCGTAGTGTACCACTCTGTAAATTTTCACAGAGTGACACACAGATGTGACCCCCCAACCGAGAACTAGAACTTTATCCATAACCTAAATCTTCCAGTCGCTGCTTTTACGGGGGTTGTGTGCTCATCACCCAGCCTCCAACGCTACAAAGTCCTTTTGCCTGTTTTAAAGTTATGTAAACAGAAAAATCAAAGAATCTGTAGTTGAATGCTCTGTGAGTCATTCATATTCTTACATGCGACTACAATTAGATTCTTATTTCTGTATGGTAGTCTGTCAAGTGAGCATTCTGAAAGTGATCCATGCTCCCATCTGATGATGTTCAGGGGCATGGTGAACAGGTTTGGAAGGAATAGTGCTGATGTGAATGTTCTTCGGCCCCTCCTTTGACTCATTTCTACCTCTTCCCATGGCTCTATGTACGGGCTTGAGTCTGAAACCTCCCTCCGCAGGCTCCTGTGTCTGGACACTTGGTCTTCAGCTGGTGGGACTGCTTTGACAGGCTCTGAAAACCTTGTGGCGGGACATATGTGTGACAGAGTAGAGTCACTGGGGGTGGGTCTTTAAAAGTTCTAGTCAAGTTTGCTTTCTAGCCCGTGCTCTATGCTTTCAACCCTCATGGCAAGCCGTGCCATGAGCTCCCGCCACCATGGGGCATGCCCTTCAGCTGTCCCGCCTTCCCAGCCGTGCGGATCAGACAGTTCAACACGTGAGCCTTACGTTTCTTCTGTCGTTTTGCCCCAGCAATGAGGAAAAGTAGCAACACAGTATGTTAGTCAGACCTCAGAGCTGACATCAATAAGGTGTGGGAGAAAGGACTTGTTGAAGGGTTCCACTCATCATGGTGGAAGAGGCAGGTTGGGGTCGCTTACGTCTTGAGAACAGGAAGCAGAGCACAGTTGTGACAGGATGACCTTCAGTGACCTTATGTACTTCCTCCAGCTAGGCCCCGAGTTTCACAATCTTCATCACCTCTTGCTTATTGACATTCTTAGTCCATCAATAGATTAACCTTTTATTATAGTAGAGACCTCGTGTCCTGAATGTTTCTGAGATATTCTTTACTAATCTAGGCATACTCCAATACAATCAAATTGACAATCAATATCCACCATCACCAGCTGGCTGTGGTGGCCCACACCTTTAATCCCAACACGTGGGAGACAGAAGCAGAAGCAGCTCTGTGAATTTGAGGCCAGCTTGATCTATATAGAAAGCTCCAGGATAGCCAGGACTATAGAGAGAGACCTTGTCTCACACAAACAAACAGACAACAACAAAAAGATTAACAATCACAATGGGGTATTGTCTCATTTACCCATTGCTGTATAACAAAGTGTTCCTAAAGCAGTGGCATCAAGCAACATTCATTTTTATTACACTCACAGATTTTGTGAGTGGGTTAGTTTTTGACAACTTGACACAACCTAGAGTCACTTGGTACAGCAATATGTACAAGAACAGCCCCCATAAGATCATATATTTGAATGCTTAGCCACTAGGGAGTGGAACTCTTTGATAGGATTAGAAGGGTTGGGAGGAGTGGCCTTCTTCCAGTCCTTTATATAGACTGCCAGCGGAAGTTTTGACTCAAATTAAAGGGGTACCTTCCCTCCTCAAAAGACCCAGATTAAAAGTGGGTCTTCCCACTTCAAATGATTTAATTAAGAAAAAAGTCTCTCACAGGTGTACCTAGGCTCTTTTTTGGTTAATTTTAGGTGTAGTTAGTTGATAACCATGAAGAGTCATCACAATAGATTATGGAGACTTTTGAAATTGAACTGAATGCATGATGATCTGGCCACAACCCTGTGTGGTGGTTTGAATAAGAATGACCCCATCGGCTCATATATTTGAATGCTTAGTCATCAGGGAGTGGCACTATTTGAGAATGGGGAGGATGTGAAAGTTTGTTAGAGGAAGTGTGCCACTGGGGATTTGGTGGCTGGGAGCATGAACAGAAATACCTTCTGGCATCAGCTTCGGGGAGGCAGATTAATTTTATTCTCAAACAAACAAACAAACAAACAACAACGACAAAAAGATTAACAGTCCCCACGGGATGTTGTCTCCGTTACCTACTGCTGTGTAACAAAGTGTCTCCAAAACATAGCGCCATCAAGAAGCATTCTTTTTTTTTTTTTTTGTCCATAATTAAAACTTTATTGAAAAGCTGACAGCAAAATAGGAGGTCACTGTTGTATACTTTATAAAATCAAATGTAATTCCATTGTCTTGGTAGAGTAGCTGAACTTGATAAGGCTTTCTGTGAAAAGCGAAGATTCAGGATCTTGTACAGCTGAGTAGTGCTGCTCTCTTCTAAGCCTCTGTGAGCCTGGCTTTTCCTCCTGTGGGAGGCACAGCGCTGTTGAACAGCCTACACAGAGAACCACCGTCTGAGCATGGCTGAAGACTGTAGTAATCTTGTAGCATCCTGGACAATTCACATCCATGAAGTAAGCCGCTTCTTTTTATGTTTTTTCTTTTCCTGTTCCAAGGAAGGGTGTAACAGATCTCTAGCCAGAGGCACGGTGATGGCTCCGAGAGCGTGGCCGCTCCCAAAGCATTCATTTTTGTTACACTCACAGATTTTGTGAGTGGGCAAAGGAGGGTTATAGAGAACTTTGGGGAGAGGGTGGGGAAATTCAGGGTGGGCAAATGTCATTGGCTGGAGGACTAAGGTACTGAGATACCTCATTAGCATGAAGATGCTGAGCAGGTTCTATGGGGAGAAAGGGAGTTGGACCTGCAATATCCCTAAGGTCTATGTGACATTCCTCAGGTAGAGGGTGTGGGGATCTGGGCTCCCCAGATTAGGTATAGAAGAGGGAGCCCCGCTGACAAAGGGAGTCCTTCATTTTGCCGGCTCGGGGCTTCCCAGCCATGAAGGACTGCAACCTTGGTTTTAGGGTCCCAAACACCTAAGCTACTGTGGGATGATGTTCCGAGATACTTGTTGGCCTATTTAACAAGGCTTAAGCTTCCTCACAATAGCAGCCACATAGTCAGATGTCTTTCCTGAAGACTCAACATCTTCAAGCAAGAAAAATGGAATAGGTAAGGCCTTTCACAACCAGCTTCATGCCTTATGGTTCAGTCACATTCTTCCAGCTGGAAACATTAGAAACACTTCATGATTGAAAGACATTGAATAGAGCTCCCACCTCTTGACAAAAGACATGTTAAAGCATTTATAGTCATGTTTCAAAATAATCACAGACATAGGATCACAGAGTTTGCTTACACTCCACTTTAGTCAACTACCAGTCAACATACACAGTAATTACAACCAGCATCTTGTTTTCCCATGAGTACTGTATGAGAGCCCTGGTTGGCTCATGTTTCTGTCAACTCTCCATGTTTCCTGCTGCACATTAGCTCTTCTGGTGACAGAGTGACAGCACATTGTGATAGTCATTTGCATTTCAGTTCTACCTTCCCACTAACTGATGATATAAGGGGAACTGGCCTAACCCAGCTTCTGAAAATTAGCAGGTGTGAATACTACATTACACTGTAATGTTGGCGAACATGATTCAGTTATGGTTTTTGAGATGAGGAGATTCACTATCTGGTCAGTTCTAAATGTCCTTAGTAGTGTCCTCAAAAAAGAAGGAGGAATATCATTGCACAAACTAGGGGACTGGTGAAAGAGGCTAAGATTGGTTTTTCTTGGAATGCAGACAAATGCCAAAAGCCACCAGGATCTAGAAACCCCAGGAAAAGACATTCATTTCCTCCACAGAGCATGGCCCTGCCCAATAGCTTGATTTCAGACTTTCTGATTTCAAAACTTTGGGAGACTTCTTAAGTTCTGTATATGTTCTGGCTATCAGCCCTCTGTCAGATATAGGATTGGCTATAGGCTGTCGTTTTGTTCTGACGACAATGCCCTTTGCTTTACAAATGCTTTTCAGTTTCATTAGGTTCCATTTATTGATGGTTGATCTTAGAGCCTGTGCTGTTGGTGTTCTGTTCAGGAAGTAGTCTCCTGTGCCAATGAGTGCTAGGCTCTTCCCCACCCTTTCTTCTAACAGGTTTAGTGTGTCTAGTTTTATGTGGAGGTCTTTGATTCACTTGGACTTTAGTTTTATGCAGGGTGATAAATATGGACCTATTTGCATTTTTCTACATATAGACATCCAGTTAGACCAGCACCATTTGTTGAAGATGCTATCTTTTTTTCATTGTATTGTTTTGGCTTCTTTATAAAAATTCAAGTATCCATAGAATGATACCCCAACCAAGGACCATGCATGGAGAAGACCTAAAACCCCTGCTCAGATGTAGCCCATAGACTCAGTGTCCAAGTGGGTTCCCTAGTAAGGGGAGCAGGGGCTGTCTCCGGCATGATCTCAGAGGCAGGCAGGCTCTTTGATCACCTGCCCCTGGTGAGGCAACCTTGCCAGGCCACAGAGGAAGATAATGCAGCCAGTCCTGATGAGACCTGATAAGTTTGGGTCAGCTGGAAGGGGAGGAGGACCTCCCCTATCAGTGGACTTGGGGAGGGGCATGGGAGGAGGAGAGGGAGGGGGAGGGGTTGGGAGGAGATGAGGGAGGAGGCTACAACTAGGATACAAAGTGAATAAATTGTAATAAATAATAATAAAAATTAAAAAAAATTTGGGAGACTATATTTCTGTTGATTGATTTTTACTTCAGTTTCTTTTTAATTAGTAATTTTGCACAGAGGTAGTGTTTGTGTGTGTGTGTGTGTGTGTGTGTGTGTGTGTGTGTGTGTGTGTGT